AGTTCAGCAGTTGGAGATCTCTCATTTACTTTTTGCGGATGACACTATTGTTTTTTGTGAGGTTGATGTGTCCCAGTTGAGGATTCTGAGATGTGTTTTGGTTTGTTTCCAGGTTGTTTCTGGTTTGAAAGTTAACGTGGGAAAGAGTGTGATTGTTCCTGTGGGGGAGGTTCAGGAGGTGGACACTCTGGCTGCTGTTCTAGGGTGTGGGACGCAACGCTTTCCCATCTCGTACTTGGGTTTGCCGCTGGGGGACTCGGCTAGGAGGGTGGGAAGTTGGAACCCGGTGATTGAGCGGGTCGAGAGAAGATTAGCGGGTTGGAAAAAACAATATCTGTCAAAGGGCGGTAAAGTTACGTTAGTGAAGAGCACTTTGTCAAGCCTTCCAACGTACTTTCTTTCGCTTTTTCGTATTCCAGCCTCTATTGTTGGAAGACTAGAAATGCTCCAATGTAATTTCCTTTGGGGGGGTCGCGGAGAAGAGTTCAAGTATCATCTTGTCAAATGGGAACAGGTTTGCAGGCCGGTTGGGAGGGCTTGGAATTAGGAGATTGGCCCTTTTCAATTGTGCTCTTCTTGGTAAGTGGCTTTGGAGATTTGGTAAGGAAAGACATAGATTATGGAGAAGGGTTATCTCATGTCGCTTTGGGGAGGAGAGAGGAGGGTGGTCAGTTAGATCAGTCAGGTCTGTTAGCGGAGTGGGGTTGTGGAGGGCCATTGGTAAGGGGTGGGATGTCTTTTCCAAACATATTAGATTCAGAGTTCGGGATGGAAGAACTGTCCGGTTTTGGGAGGATCCATGGTGTGATGATAGGCCTTTGGCCCTATTGTTTCCCAGGCTTTTCAGGATTGCTGTTGACAAACATGCTATGGTTGCTGACTACTATCGCCTTGATAGTGGAAGGTTGTCTTGGGATGTGCGTTTTCGGCGAGCTTTTCAGGATTGGGAGCTGGATGATGTCACTGGGTTTTTGGCTCTCCTTTATGGACAGGAGGTGGAGGGGTCTGGGGCAGATTCCTTGATTTGGGTGCCTTCTTCTCAGGGGATGTTCCAGGTCCGGTCCTTTTTTGTGTGCCTTTCTAGTTTTCATGGTACCTCATTCCCATGGAAGACGGTGTGGAGGTCTAAGGCGCCTCTTAGGGTGGCCTTTTTTGTGTGGACTGCAGCTTGGAGTAAGATTTTGACTTTGGACAATTTGAGGAAGCGAAGGCATATCATTGTTAATAGGTGTTGTCTTTGCAAGATTAATGGGGAGTCGGTGGATCATCTTTTGTTGCACTGTTCTGTGGATTATGATTGTTGGAGTTTGATGTTTGGCCTGTTTGGTATTCATTGGGTCATGCCTTGGTCATCTTGGGAGTTGTTAGATATGTGGAGGGGCCAATGGGTGGGGGCTCAGGCTAGAGTTTTTTGGAGGGTGATCCCTTTTTGTATTTGGTGGAGCCTTTGGAGAGAGCGTAATGGAAGATCTTTTAAGGGAAAGGAATCCTCCATTGGGGTGTTAAAATTTTCTATCATTTGTAATTTGTTTTGTTGGGGTCAGGGGAGAGACTACTCCTCTCTCGAGTAGATTGTTGATTTTTTGAGCTCTTTGAGTTCATAGGCTCCGTTTTGTCTTTGTATAGTTTGGGACGCGTTCCTCTTTTGAACGCTTTTTATATAATTTACTTATCAAAAAAAAAAAAAATTCTGCTCTTGTAGTACATCTATATTTATAATAGAGAAAACCTAACACTAGAAGGAAACTAAAAACATAAGGAATTTAATCCTAGAAATAAACCTAAAAATAAATTCTTTCTAATTTTTTTTTTTTTTTGGCATTTTTTTTAATGAATTATTTATTTATCAAAAAAAAAAAAAAAAATTTGTAGGCAAAGTGGGTGCTACCAAAACGAGCAATCTTCATCAGCCTAGGGTAAATCAAGGCTCTGATACCAAGTTACGTAAGCAGAAGCGATAAACGTTCACAAGGAATAAGGTTACTTTGATTCCACAAAGTAGGGTAACTTTGAATACACAAAGTTGGTAAGAATTGCCAAGCAATCTGTAATATTATTAATCAAATGTTAAATTCTACTCTTGTAGTACATGTATATTTATAATAGAGAAAACATTACACTAGAAGGAAACTAAAAAAATAAGGAAATTAATCCTAGAAAGAAACCTAAAAATAAATTCTTTCTAAATTTAAAAAAAAAAAAAAAAAAAATAGAAAACGAAACCTAATTAATAAAAACTACTAAATATAAAATGTCAGAGCATTTCAACTTTGTATAGGCCTCGAACAAAAATCTTGAAATAATTAGCAGGCCTCTCGTAAGACAATAAAATGCGATTTCGGAGCCCTAAACAAAGGTTTTCAGCCGAAAACTAACATTGCCCACGTGTACATGATCAATGCTATGAATTTGTAAGGCAAGCAACTCAAAACTGTCTGAGTAGGTGCAAAAAACAAATAAAAATAATAATTAGAAAGGCACAAAGAGAACGTAAAAAAATAAGAATCGAAAGAAAGAGAAGCAATTAATGATGATTTCATAGATTTTTTGGACCTTCTGGGTCCTTAGGTTTCAGTTTTGTTTTTGTATATGGGACGCGTTCCCCTTTTGAACGCTTTTTTCGTTTCAATCCACATTACTTATACAAATAAAAAATGTGATTAAAGTGTGTATAAAATTTTAAGTGGTCACATGTTATGCATAATACAATACATATTACCAGATGTGTAAAAATGTGAAACCAGTTGTTGGTTTTATTAAAATAACAATCGAGTAAAATACACTTGATGAAAAAAAAATGGATTGAAATTTGATTTATTATGATTCAATGAACAACTACTGTATAAATTCCAAAATCGGTGAAATGAACAGTAAAATTGAGTAAAATACACTAAGAAAAAGAAAGAGTAGATCAAAATTTGATCTATTATGTTCTGAATTAAATTGAAACATACCAGAAAAAAATTAAAAATGACGCTTTGAGTTGCAATTTGATGCACACGAACCAAATATGACCATATTCGAAAGGGTTTGAAGTTGTTGGAAGACAGAGGAAAACATCCAACAAACAAAACCTAGATGAGCGAGAGATAATGTATGAGATACAGAGACTGATATAAAGCAAAACCTGCACGTCAACTTTGATACCACCAATTTCAACAGGCGTCAAATTTCAGACACAACCCAACTTAAAACCTTCACTTTATTTATTTATTTTTTTTAAGAAAAAAATTTTGAAATTACAATTTAATGTGAAAAAATAGAAGTTAAGTTGGATGGATGAAGTTAATTAACTATTGACAGAACTCTTCGGAAATTGAATTTCTTTATAAAAAAAAGGAAAAGGTACAAGAGAGGGAGAGATTGATATATAAAGCAAAACGTCATGTCCTAAACCTCAACCTCAAATTGTATAAATTTGAACCGATAGATTTCAATCCACGTCAACTTTTTGAAACTCCAAAAGTCTTTTTGTTTCTTTTATTAAAATAACTTATTTCATAATAATTGTATATACTTATATATTTTTTTTGATAAGTAATAATTGTATATAAATATTATAAATAGAATCCACTTTTACAAGGGATTTAAACCCTAAGAAACTCTTTTCTTTTTCTTGGTAACCAAAAGGAGAATTATTAGAAAAATAGGAATAGGGTTTCAGTATTTTTGTTAAGGCTGGAAAGAGAGATTTTGAGTGATTGGTTTATTGAAGAAGATGAAAGAAAAATAGGGATAGAAAACAAGGAATAGGGTTTATTTTTTTTTGAGGGGATTTTTTTGCACAGGGAGACGGAAAGAGAGAGAAGAGGAAGATATAGGCAGGGAGACGGAAAGAGAGAAGAGTAAGATATATAGGCTGATATGGCAGTTTTAATGTTAGTCTGTTTTTTTATATGGTTCAACGGATCCTTTAAATCGTCGCGTCATCTGAGGAACGTGGTGCAAACATGGTTCGCCGTATCTGTTGATACACGGCGTATCGCCCGGTTCGTAATCATTTTTCAAGGGTCCGATACCGTTACACATCTTCATGAGCTGGCCAGTTTGGCCAGTTTACACCTATATTCGTTTGAGTTCGTTACACCGCGACCGCGACCGTGAACCATGGGTGTAAAACAAAATTTACAATGCAAAATAATATTAATTTAGAATACTGGAGGTGTTGTTAGAAGTTATTTGTTAGAAGAGTGGGAGGTTTTTGCAGTTGGAAGGTGTTTGTTAGAAGAGTTCTTTTTATTATTTGAAAAGTTATGTTTGTTACGAAATCAAATATTTGAAGAGTCATGTTTCCGTATTAAATTAAAAGAACTGATTTAAATGTATATTTACAATACAAAAATATCTATTATTGAATATAGCTGGTGTTTGCATTTAGGTGTCTGTGAGAAGAGAAACAAATATTCGAAGTCTCATGTTTCCTTTTTAAATTAAAAGTACTGATCTTAATGTATATAGATAATACAAAATGTGTCCCCTTTTATAAGGATAAAGATATGCATGTATGCATTTCTGTTTTCATTTAATGTATCTGGGGTTTTCAAATGCTTTAGAAGTTAAAATCATTTTTGTAGTTTTAGTCGCCCATCAACATGTTTGGTCTTCCAAAACTTCTTTTTCAAACTATTCATGCAAGTTAAAATTAATGTCGTTTTTCAAGGATCAGAAAACTGTTGAGATAACGTAAGTTGGTAACATGCGCTTTGGTGTGTGAATTTGTACTCTTCATTGCAGCACTTCCTTAAAACTTTCATACTAAAACTTTTCAAATATGCTTACTAAAACTTTTCAAATATGTAGGTGGAGTGGCATGTGCAATGTTTTAGTATAAATGTTAAGAAAGCAAGAATTTTCATAATTATAATGTTTAGTTTACCATCATCATTATAATTATTTTTGGTAAAACAAGAGGTAGAATTATGCCTTGGAGGACTCAGTGACTCAGCCTTGCATCCCTAAAATATTAGCTATTAACTTATGATTCTGTGTTACATGTGCAGCTCCGTGTGCATTGCGCTGAAGCACTTGGCACACCAATTGTGGGTGACTACAAGTATGGTTGGTTTGTGCACCGTAGATGGAAGCAAATGCCTAGGGTTGATATTGAGCCGACGACTGGGGAACCCTACAAGTTGCGGAGACCGGCAGGCTTGGATGTTCAAAAGGGTAGTGTCTTATCTAAGGTGCCCTTGTTACATCTTCATTGTAGGGAGCTTGTCCTCCCCAATGTTGCGAAGTCTCTTGAGTTTAACAACCGAAATGCAGAAAACGGCCATGGGAACCCGAAGCAAAGCTCAAAGCCGGATCTCCTTCGGTTTGTGGCATCAATGCCCTCCCACATGAAAATTAGTTGGAATCTCATGTCCTCTTACTTGGTGTAACCATCTCACTTGCTTTATTTATTGACATTAACCTGGTGTCGTACTGTGACCTGATTTGAATGGTTAATAGTAAATTTGATTGTGAATTTGATTCACGACCCATTAAAATAAAATAAAAAAATAAATAGAAAAGGAGAAAAGAAAAAAAAAAGAAAAAGAAAAGAAAGCAGAATAGAGAGAGTAAAATGCTGTTTGATAACTCAATTCCTCTTTTAATTTTGAACGATTAAACACTTATTCATGTATAATTTGAATTTCACTTAAAATGCTAAGCATTACTAACACGGGGTAAAATTTTAAGAGACATGACATTACTTATCACTTAATGTTAAATTTTTTAAATCAGATATCTTAAATTAAGCCTGCATCCCTTCTAGTTTGCATAATTATGCTTACCTCCCTTAATTTAAAATTTTAATAACAAATACACCCCTCTGGCCGGCTTCCTGCACCCAATCAACGTTGACGTCACCATCTCACTCTCAAAATGACTATACTACCCCTGAAATGTTTTCACACTCTTCTTGATCCCCAAGAGTCTTCAACCTTCTTATGTAAATGATGTAGCTATCTCATTTGGAATTCTACCAAAGCTTGCTAGCTGTAGCTTCGTACTTTGCTTTAGTTCTAGCTTCCGCGCTTGGCGGCCCCCACCCTAGGGATGAAGTTCTAACTTTGGGGGGGGGGGGGGGGGGGGGGGCGGAGGAAAAAGAATTAGACACTACTCGTTCTACTTAAAGAAAGGTACACAGACCTTATTTATGTTTACCATAATTATAGGGACTTTTCATGTGGTTTGAGAATTTACTCGAACCTTCTCTAAAAACAAAACTATTCTACACGAATCTTTCTTCTGTTAGAGTCAATGCGACTCAATAATGAATTGTGCTGATGTCATGTACTAAATTAAATAAAATGCCCAATTTACCCTCCATCTATCTCTCTCTTCTCACTTTCTCTCTAAATTATTCAACCCAATCCACAAACAAGGCCGGCGACTAGAGAAAGCTTCCAGTGACGAGTTCCAGCGAAGGCAGTGATAGAAAGCTTTTGATCGGCGAGCAAATACCGAAAATTCCGACGGCAGATTATTAAGATGTAACTGCAAATGGGTGAGCTTGAGGAAGAGTTAAAAAGATTGAAGGAGCAATTGGGTGCAGCAGAAGAAGAAACATATCAAGCCAATGATGAAATTCGGCAACCAAACAGCATCCAAAGCTAATCTTATTTGGGTTTTGATTCTCGCATTGAGGTGCATATGGGTCACCTCCAAATATGATATATACACTTATATATACACACACATAAACATGTTGGGGAAATTGACACTAAAAGAATAATTCATCTACTTTTATTCATATACAATGAATGATACACCAACATAAATTAACAAAACTTTCATTAATCATGGATAATACATCAAATTGAATATCATGAATATAACAATAAGTACAATAATTTATACAATATAAATAAGTAAACTATATAGGAAAGAATGGGTTTGGATAATGAGAGGCATGCGAGCATTGTCCTAAAGTCGTATGGCCTCCCTACATACAGGTAGGGGAAGCAAAATTCGGCACGAACCGCCAACACAATACGTACACGAGACGAGTTAAATGGATAATGGGTTTACTATAAACCGGGTTCGTGTCGTAAATGGGTTGACACGATTAACCCGTTAAGTTAAACGTGTCGTGTTCGGGTTTTAGGGCTCAACCCGTTTAACATGTTTTGACTTGATATGGGACATTTTGGTCCGTATACATAAGAAACCCTGTACATATCACATTATTACTTGTTGTTGCACCTGATTCTATTATACGCCTTTAGTCATTAGAAGATATTTTAAACGTGTCAGTATTACTAAATGCGTATAAACGTGTCGTGTTCTTGTTGTTCGTATGACTAAAGGCGATCTATCTTCTTGTTGCACCTGATTCTTCTACAACTCAATGACCTCTCCCTGATCTATTTTCTTGTAAAATACTAAAATTATTTATGATTTATGGTTTATCTAAATATTGTTTTGGTCATCCTCTCTCTATCTAAATTTGACAAGATTTGCTCAATATCTGATTTTTCAAACCCTCCTTCATAGTCTTGGGTTTTTGGTCGAATCGATCCTGATTTGTGAGTTCTTAAAGAGATATTAGGGTTATTTGTTTCGTTAGAAAATATTTTGCAGCTTTTACGATTGCATAGTTATATCAAAGTTTAGATGCAATATTTCTTGGAATTTTGTTGTGTTGAATGAGTTCTTGAGCAAGACAAATATTTTTTTTGTGTTTTTCTCCGAATGATGTTCTTCGCTGGTTTGAAACTTTTTTGTTGAATTATATATTTAATTATTATAATTACAAATTATGAGGGAAAATTTTGTTCTTTCCATATAAATGATTTGATCTTTAAAAATTTCAAGATATGATTATCCATTATTTTTCATTCATGGACTCTCTCTCTTACATGTGAATTCCTACAATATTAATTTCAAGTTTCGGTAAAAACTATTTTTCTTTTATTTGGAAGAAAAAAATATGCCACATTTATTGGAATTCTGTTGTGGTGAATGATTTATTGGTGATTGGGTGGTTTTTACTTTTTATGTTGATTATGATGATTGAGCAAGATAAAGATTTTCTGTGTTTTTCTCATATTATTGTTCTTTGCTGGTTTGTAACTTTTTGTTGAATTAATATATGTATTTTTTTTTTCTTCATATAAAATGGTTTGGACCAAATTCTTTCTCTAATCAAAATCATTAACTAAAGACAAATACAAAACATAGAATATAATACTTGGCCACATGAAACAGGTTAAGTTGTTAAAAAGGTTAAACGGGCAAACATGTTAAACAAGTCTTTAAACAGGTCGTGTTTGGTGTGTCTAACACGATTCGTTTATTAAACGGGTTACACGTGTCGTGTCGTGTCACTTGTTTAATAAACATGTCGTGTTTGGGTTTAGGATATGTGACACGATTATTAATAATCGTATCGTGTTCGGATTGACATGTTTAGTGTTATACCTTTAGGTCGACACAACACGATTATGACACGCGAACCCGAATTGCCACCCCTACATGTAGGTGATAACAGTCCAATACAACTCTAAGATACAACTGATATCCACCAGTGTTCTTCGCTCGGCACGTTCGAAGAGAGAAGAGTTTTTACAAGCCTTGTGTCAAAATTGCTCGAAACTCTATTAAAATACTCATGTATATAATAGTATCTTGAATAAGAAAGATGCTCTCAACCTCACACTATTTAAGTACGTCACACCCATATAGTAGAATAGAAGACCCCTTGATGTTGACCAAGTGGTGCGTCAATAATAAAACCACTGACTTAAGCACGGATTCACTAAGAAAGCGGCTAAGTAGGGGTATCAATCCATGAAGATTGCGAAGCTTATGGCAATCAAGTTGCAATGACCTAGTCATTTTCCTTCTTTTCTTTTTTCGGTAATTTTCTTTTTTCGCCTTTTTCCTTATTTTGTTTTTTTCTCGTTTATCATTTTTTCCTTGCATAACCTCACTTTTTGTGCTCTAATTTGATTCCGGCTTTGCATACATCCATGATATTAAAATTTCATGATATCTACATTTTCACTTTTGTAGAAAAACATGCTAGATGTTTACTTTTCTTGTAAAAGGCATGGATGCATAACTTTTTGGTAATATTATTGACTTTTGGGGTTTTAGTGTAATTATGAGAAGTAATTATTTTTCGTCTTAAGGACCATTTTGTAATTTTATTTGGAAGATATTTTCAAAAAGGACCTTTTTGCAATTTCCAGAAAATATGACAAGTGTCACACTCTCATGGAGCCACTGGTTGACATTGTGGTGGAACCACTTGGAGGCTTAATTGTTTGACACATGGAGGGTGGAGATTCATCCATTTGTTGGCCTATGATAGGAGCACTTGTTGGCATGGATGGTTGACAAGTGTAGGCTTAATATTAAGTCTTGGAAGTTTACTTAGATTCATGACAAGTGTAGGTCTCACAATTTGTTTTGCATTGTATGTGTGTGAGAGGTAGTACAAGAGCACCTAGTGAGTGGAGAATCCCACCACATTTAACTTAGGGTTTCCACATTTTATTTCATTCATCTCTTTCCTCTCAAGAACCCTAACTTAGCCACCATTGGAGCAAAGCTTGACTTAGAGCTTTGACTTCATTTTTGATACCCTTCCACTCACCTTAGACCTTTAAGCTTGGAATACTTTAGCTTCCTCTCACTCTCCTCTATAAAACCCTAGTTTAGTTTTCCATTTTTAGCTTGGTTGCATTGGATTATAGAGATTCAATTCTTTATTGAGGTAGGGGTGGTTGTATGTTTATCCTCTTTGGGTTATATATATATTAGAGCTTGATATATATTGATTACATGCTTTTAAAATTCTTGTATTTGCATATAAATAGAGATTATTATGCTTGACTTAGGATTTGTGAATTAAAGCATGTATATGATTATTAAATGGAATAGGTAAATTATTTTTAAATGACTTGCCTAATACTTGTGATTTTATTGAGGGTCTATTGTGGATTTCTTGGAGTTGGAACTTATATCGTTAAGTAATAGAAAATTCATTGAAGGTCTAGTGTAAAGATCTTGTATTTGACACTTGTATTTATTTGTAGGTAAATAACTATATTGCATGATTAGTAATTGTGGCTTACATTGATAGTAAATTGCTTTAGTGTAATATGTAGTATCATTAACTTGCCACTTTAGACATGTAACCTTAGGGCATGGTTTGTGTGGTTTCACCCTACTTGTGCTTGGTAGATAGTTTCATGCATTGAGATTATATAAATGTCATGGACTTATTGATTTTTGGAAGCTTGTAAGGATATGAAATGTTGATGGCTAGGGTTTGGCTCTAGTACGGAGAATAAGAATTCTCCTAAGTCATAGTACGCACTAGGTAGTACTTTGTGGGTCATAATTACCCAAAATAACTTGTATAGTCTCGTGGCCACATATCCTAATCTTTCCATTATTTGATTTTGCATTTATATTTCCAAGTTGTAAATCATGGATTTCTTGTAGCTTATGATTTGGTAACTTTAGTTTCA